CCCCATCCCTGTGCGCCCCCATCCCTGTGCGCCCCCACCCCTGTGTGCCCCCATCCCTGTGCGCCCCCACCCCTGTGTGCCCCCATCCCTGTGCGCCCCCACCCCTGTGGTCCCACATCAGAGGCCCTGCCTGACACTCAGCCTCTTTGGGGTGGGGTGAGTCCTCAGGACCCCCAGAAGCCCAGAGAACAGGGTGAGAAGGCGCTGAGAGCCTCAGTCAGCTCTGGCTGCCATAACAGATGACCATAGCGGGCGGCTTCCGCAGCAGGCATTTCTTTCTCACAATCTGGAGGCTGGGAAAGTCAAGACCACGGTGCTACAAGGCAGATTTCATGCGGAGGCCTCCTCTCTGGGCTTATAGGCAGCCGCCTGCTGTCTGTGTGCTCACGTGGCCTGTGGCCTCCCTGGTGCACACCAGAGGGCGCGCTCTGGAGACTCCTCTTCTTATGAGGGCACTAATACCGTCCGGGGCCCCACCCTCATGGCGTCATCTAACACAATCCTCTCCCGAAGGCCCACCTCCTCATCCCATCACATTGAGGGCAGGGGTTCAGCATGTGAATTTGGGGGACACAAACATTCAGTCCTTACAAAGCCCCTCAGACCCCTCACCCCAAGATGGGAGGGAGGGGGGCCTGGTCTCTGGCCGGGTGCTCTCTTGGCCTCGCTGCACCAGCCGCACAAGAAGAGGGTGCTCCAGCAGTCAGGGGGCTACTGAGAGTGATCCTTAGCTTCACCTGAGGGAACCATCCCCAGAATTAATGCCCATCCTCCCCCTGGCAGGTCCTCTCCTCCTCGGGGCTGGTCAGGGCCCCCGCCTCCCTGGTGCCTGGCCAGCAGGGCTGTGTCATCGGGGGGCCCAGGCCTTGCCCTCTGGAGCCGTGGTCTCTCTGGTTGCCAAATGGGAGGGGGAGGGGGTGGAGGAGGGCTGAGCCGGCCTCCTCTCTGGCTGCTCTGTGAGCCCAGAGTCCTGATCCCAGAGACCCATCTACCCTCCGCGGCCCCTGCTTGGCATCAGTCCCTGGCGGGCCAGGGAGGCAGAGCCGGGGAGGCGCCCACGGGCCCCCTCCAGCCACTGCAGGGAGGCCCAGTCGGCTCTGCCAAGGGAGGACCGGGAGGACTCAGAGCCCCCGGGCCAGGAGGAAGGGCAGGCGGGTGCAGGGCAGGGCCTTTGTGCTGCCAGGGAAGCCGCCCTCCATCCCCACTGGCCTGCTTGGCCAAGCTGACGGCAGGAAGAGCCCGTCGGCCATCCGTCAGGGAGACGGAGTGGGCTGTGCGAGGAGGGAGCCGGGAAATTTGATCATTAAGAAACCCTCCTGGCTGTCTGGGGGAATTTAATTAAATTGCTGCGGAGGGCGGTGAGAGAGGGCCACATCTGGAACCAATATGTGGGCTTTGATTTCCTCTCTCCCCTCTCCCCCTCCCTCGCTGCCTCTCCCCAGCTCACTGTGAACGGAACACAGTAGACCCTAGGGGATTGGTTCCTCTGGGGCGGAATTCCTGGCCGACAGACAGAGGGACACCGGACGGACGCTGTGCCCTGGGATTGGCTGTGGGGGCTTTAGCTGTGACAGGAGGTAAGGGCCCACTTCACAGGACAAGAGTCCGTTTCGGAGGGTTCCAGAAACGGGACGCCCCGCCAAAAGGCCCCGGATGGCCAGCACTGACTCAGCCCCAGCGCATGGCATCGTGGTGGGGGCGGGGCGGGGGGAATGCTCTCACACCCTGGGGAGCAGAGGCTGTGGTCAGCCCCATTTACAGACCAGAGGCGAAATGACTTGCCCAAGGTCACAGAGCCCTTGAGAGATGGTGCGAGGGTTCCCTTCTGCCTGGACGCGCTGCCGGGCCAGTTGTGGCCATCACTCCATGGGCTGCTGTGGACTTCGCGCTCCGTGTGCCAGGCACCCAGCGAGGCTCTCCCGGGGCAGCAGCGAGGAAGGCAGGCAGCGAGCTCCCAGCGGCCCGGGAAGTGCCAAGTGCTAGCAGGAGCCGGACAAGCCGGCCTCGACCAGGCAGCCAGCGGTGGTTGAAGTGGGCCCTCCGCCTGGGCAGCCCTTGGCCGAGAGAGGAGTGGGCACAGAGGCCTTGGGGTCTCTCTTGCCCGGTGGTGCAGCCCCTCCAGGCCCCAGGTGCTCATGGTCATGGCCTGGACCACCAAGGCTAAGCCACGGATCCGGCTCAGTCCCCCTTCAGCCAGTTTCCTGCACGTGAGCGAGCCTGCCCTGGTCTCCGAGCTCGCCACTCCCCCAGGGCCCAGGACCCCTCCCAGGCCCAGCCGGGCTCCCAAGAGTCCTACCAGCCAGGCCTCCACTGTGGACAGACAACCTCTGGGGTGCTTCCCGTCCTCCCCTAAACCCCAACTCCTGCCCTCCAGCCGGCACAGCGGGGAGGGGCGGGGGGGGGGAGGGGCCCTCCTTGGCTCCCCCTGCTCGCATGGCTGAGGCCCAGCCTGAGTTGAACATCCATTTTCATTGTTCCTGTGTGAGCCCCAGGGTAGCCCGGGCCCGGCCAGAGCCAGCCCAGGGAGGACCGGACATACATGTTTGTGGGATGGATGTCTCATGACCTCAAGGCAGTTTAAAGATGCAATTCAAGCTCTTGGCATGGAGGGGAGGGAAGTGAGGCACAGAGAGACCGACAGGGGGCTCCTGCGAGGCCCTGGCCCCTTGGGGCAGACAAGCTCGGGCTCTGCGGGTCCTTTGAACACTGCAGGGCCTCCTGCCTGGCTGCCGTCACCTGCTAAGTCCTGCTCAGCTTCAAGAACGCGCCGGAACTGGTTTGGCTCAGTGGATAGAGCGCAGGCCTGCGGACTGAAGGGTCGTCACCTGCTAAGTCCTGCTCAGCTTCAAGAACGGCTTAGTGCCCTGCCCTAGGGAACCCCCCCCCCATACACCTCCACGCGCACGCCCCCCGGGGCCCCTGACCTTGCTGCTGCTTCTCCGTGGAGACTGGCCTGTTGACTTCTCTGCCGGATGGGGCGGCGCTCTGCCCCCGGTGCCCAGCCCGGACCCAGCACTGTGGAGGCACGGGGTGAAACGTGCTGGTAGAAGTGCTGAGCTGGAGAAAGGACGGGAGCCAGCCTGGCTGGTTTGGCTCATGGATAGAGCGTCGGCCTGCGGACTAAAGGGTCCCAGGTTCGATTACGGTCAAGGGCACGCACCTCGGTTGCAGGCTCCTCCCTGGGCCCTGGTTGGGGCACGTGCAGGAGACAACCAATCGATGCGTTTCTCTCACATCGATGTGTCTCTCTGTCTCTCCCTCTCTCTTCCACTGTCTCTAAAAATCAATGGAAAAATAAACTCAGGTGAGGATTAAAATAAATATAAACTAAAACAAAAAAGGCGGGGAACCAGCCCAGGCCTGCCCTCCGGCTCTGCTCTGGGCCTGGGGACGCAGTAATGATGGTGCTGGTGGCCACTCCTGGAGGCGGACTCGCGCGGTGGGCCGGGCCCGGCAGATGCCAGGGGCGCACTCAGCCAGGGGGCAGGTGAGGCGGGCGGGAAGGGGAGGACTGGGAGCCAAAGGGCTGTGCTAA